TCTCCCGGAGCCCCTTCGGGCACTGGAAGGGGATCTGAGGGCTCCCCTTTTTCGCCTTCTCTTCTCTGAACCCCCCCAACTCTCCCAGCCTGTCCTCCCAGCAGAGGGGCTCCAGCCCTCCCAGCATCTCCATGCCCTCCTCTGGCCCCCGTAATTAGCCTTGTTGAACCTCATGAAGTTCATCTGGGCCCACTTCTTGAGCCTGTCCAGGTCCCTCTGGATGGCATCCCTCCCCTCCAGCATTTCTACCTCGCCACACAGCTTGGTGTCATTGGCAAACGTGCTGAGGGTGCCCTCGATCCCACCATCATTGATGGAGATATTGAACAGTGCCGGTCCCTGTACAGACCCCTAAGAGACACCACTGGTCACCTTTCTCCATCTGGACATGGAGCCCTTGACCACCACCCTCTGGATGCCCCTGTCCATCCAGTTCTTCATGCACCAAACAGCCTACCCATCAAATCCATCTCTTCAAGGTGGAGACGGGGATGTTGTGAGGGATCCTGTCCAAGGCCTGACCGTTGGTTTTTATTCGCTGTCGTAGGGTCGGGTGCTGCACCCGGAGCAGCACCGGGTGGTGAGTGTGAGGGAGTGTGCCCGCTCCCAGGGCTTCCCCGATACGTATCGCCTCTTCGGGAACATCCTCGACAAGCACAGACAGGTCAGCACCGGTGGCAAACGCTTCGCCGGTGGCAAACCCCTCGCCGGTGCCATTGCCAGTGTCATGGCAGAGCCGGTGCCTAGCATTAACCTTCTCTCTGTTGCAGGTCGGTAACGCAGTGCCTCCTCCTCTAGCCAAAGCCATCGGGCTGGAGATCAAGTCGTGCATGGTGGCGAAGTTGAGGGAAGACACAGCGGGTAGGTGCCGTGCTGGGAGTCGCTGCCATCCCCTTCCCTGGGCCGTGGGGTCAGGTACACCATCCCTGGTCTCTGCCCTCCTGGGTGGGGGGTCCTGAGTTGGAGCACAGTGGTGTCACCCCCTCTTCTCTCTCCCCAGACCTCAGCGCCCTGGAGAAGATGGAGACCACGGAGAAGATGGAGACCGTGGAGAAGATGGAGACCATGGAAACTGCCGACTGACGCGTGGCCTCTCCTCCGGCACCAGGACTCCTAAACATGCACTGATTTATTTTAACCCCCTTTTTTTGTTTGTTTGTTTTATTTGATTTTTTGTTTTGTTTTGTTTTGGTTTTTTTTTTGTTTTTTTGTTTGTTTGGTTTTTTTTTTTTAATTCCTGGCCCATGGGAAGACCGGCCATGGCTCGTGCCACCCCCTGGCCCTGCTCGTGTCTCTCTCCTGGCTGCCCTCCGCCGCTCTCTGTGATGGTCGAACTCCACTACCACCCCGGCAGGGCCCTGTGGGACCCCCCAACTCCCGGTCCCGCTCCCTGTTTTTATGCCGCATTGTATTGAAAATAATCGGCCGCTTTGTACAAGTGGGAATTGATACTTTATGTAGTTTTTATATGTTGTAATATTTCTTCAAATAAATCTCTCCTATGAATTATAAACTCTTTTCTTTCCTCCTGGCTTAGCCTAGGCCTCGGCCCCGCGGCGGCGGGG